CCAATTCTATGCATACTTATGCAGAAGTAAGCCACAATGAGTTCAATTGGGCTTGCTTCCAAGATGTGTGTACACCATCATAGCATAAGTGCATATGTATATTAGACTTAAAATGTCCTTACAGGGTGGCTGGAGTTCTCTTAAGAACTTAAGTACACTTACCACAGTTACAATTTAAACAAGCATAAAACCAAACAAGTTTAGAGTATAACTAAACCTTTGTTGTAGCTTGAAGACAGGATACAAAGAGAGCAATTTCCATTAATATTGGATTTCACTTGCCAAAATCTACTGTTTTCATACAATTTCAGTAAAGATTGAATGAAAAAGGAAAAGGCCATTGATGACTGCTTACAGCAGAGGTCAAGTGTTCTAGATAATATCCACCTCCTCCACAGAAAGAAAGATGAGAGAGATTAGCTACAGATGAGCTATTTACTTCTGCAGTAATCCTAATTCTTTTACCAAGAAGGGAGAATGGCCAGGGTCCAGGACTTAATGGCCTGCCAACTCCCAATGACAGAACTGTAGGAGCAGCAGCGTTTCAATATTTGTATCGTCAATTTAAGGCAACTTTACAAGGACTGCAAACAAAAGCCTCACAAGAAACATCACTGCAACATCCACAAATGTCATCTACCCCTCCCCCCATATACTTCCACTCAATACCTGCACATCCAGCAATAAATAAAGAATTTGCCAAAAACTTTCATGTCAGCTCCTAAAATATGATTCTGCTACCAAGGAATTTGATAGGGCAGTGAGTAGCAAAAACAAAAACAATTTTTATTTGGATTTTTCCTTTTACTGAATATGTATATTGATTTTAAATGGAAAGATAATGGTCATTCCATGCAAACATAAATATGCACACAGACCTGGGAGGGAAGGGTAGGTCTTCAGACGGAGACCTCCCCGCACTACTGCTATCTAACTTTTAACTCTTGTGAGTTTTAAATTAAATTGTAAGTTTTAAATTCGTTCCTCTGGCTTGGAGCAGGAGCTCCAGAAGTCCTACAGAGCGCAGGGCTATGCAGAAACTGGAAAGGTCAGCCTAGGCCACTCCAATAGGAGCCACGCAACAAAATAAATTTCCATAGCCTATCTAGCGAGCAGAGGCGTGACCTAACCAGTTCCTGGATGACTTCCCCCCACTGAAGGAGAATGTAAAGGAGCCTCTGCCTGCACTGGCTCCATTCTTTAAGGTGACCAGGTCTGACGTAAAAAGTCAGATGTCCCCATGTTAGCAATCAACAACACTTTATACAGTTTCCCCCAGTGGGGGTGAAGGATTCCCCATTCTCAGGTCCTGTTGCCTGCTGTTGGACTGAAAGGCAGTGAAAGGGAAAAAAATTAAACTGCAGGATCGTGTTCTTAATGGAAGTGACAGAGGGTGGCTCTAAGAATCACTAGAAACTCTACTGTTGCCCCTATTTTTAACCAGAAGTGGCATGACACTACATATTGTGCTGCATCCCCCATGGCCCTGCTGGGCTTTCTCCGAATCTTATATGTCAAGAAAACAAGTCAAAATTACATACAACCCCCCTACTGTCCTTAGTGAATAATAACACAGCTCATAACAAAAATATTGACTTCAGAAAAGTCTCGACATATCTAAGCATAGCCCAGGAATTACACCTTAATCAGCTACATTCATTTCTTCTAGCTAAACAGACCGGTGTATAATATGTCTAATAAAGAATTGTCAGACTTATCTTAAGCATCTAAATTAAGCATCATAATTTTACACAAGTTACAGATCTTCACTGTTGACCCAACCTCAAATGAATTCTGATTAACTAAGAGGTATTTAAAGTAGGTTAACTTTATGGAAAATGCATATGAGATCTAGCTACGTAAATCAGAAGTCCAGTCACAAATGCTTATGTATGAAACATTTGGTATGGCATACACTTGCTGTAGCAGCCTGCAGCCAAGATAAACAGGAGCACTAGATTCCATCAGACAACAGCACAAAATCAAAAGTAACTTCTTCACTATGTACATGTTACATAACTGATGCAATGTCAAGCACTCACCATATGCATAACTTATTTCAGCAGGGCTTATTACTGGATTATTTGAAATAAATCTGAACATACATTTCACCTGTGATATACTAATTCCAGAGTCACCATCCAATCCAGCGATAATCATCATCTGACATTTAACCTTGAGAAACTATTGTCAATTTTCCAGAGGAGTTAGCTATGTTAGTCTGTTGCTGCAAAATAGTAAAAAGCCCAGTAGCACCTTTAAGACTAACAAACTCTATTGTAGCATAGGCTTTCGAGAAAAACAGCTCTCTTCATCAGATGCATGGAGGGTATGAAGAAACTGGCCAGAGATATATAGGTGGTAATGGGAGGGGGGAGAGGATGCAGAAAGCGCCATGTAAATGCAAAGCAGTTGCAAAAGTCATGGAAAAGGTAGAATGCGCAATCCAGGCTGGGAGTGACCCCTTCCTTCTATTGATGAATCTGAATGGAATACCTGAAAGGCAGTTACTTCTGGTAATGAGATAACCAACCAAAGTTTCTATTCAATCCAAGTCTGACGGAGTCAAATTTACATATAAATATTGTCAATTACGGCTCTGACACTGATAAAATTAATTGTTCAAGGTTTTTTTTAAATATCTGAAAACGAAGTACTGGGAAAACATCTGGGCCAAATAATTATGTAGAACAAATTCACTTCCCACACTAATTTTCATAAAAACAAGGGTGGAACTAAATATTACAGGAAATGCATGGCTGCAACTGAAAACAACAAACCAGCATTTTTCTCCATCTCTCTAGTTACCTCTATTCAATAAAAACTGACATGATCAAGCTCGAAGTTTCAGTGCTCCCACTTCACTGTCTGCCACTTGCAAGACTGAGAAAGCCTGAAGCAACATCATGTCACAGATTTTTACTCACTAGGTAAAATGTCTAGCTCCCCTGCCTTCTTACTGATTAGCAAAGGCAGAAACATACATGGGGCATTTCCGGGAAGGGAGGGGTGTCAGTTAAGGCAATGAACTGCAGAGCTGCTTGGCTTCTATAGGCTGCACTATAAAGGAAGCTCATGATTGCTTAGCAGGCTTTTGTTTTCTTGTGGATAAGCCTTTCTGCACTTCAATAGCAGCAAAGCTAACTGGCCACTTCCTGAAGGACCAGCTAAAGACTATTTCCCAGCAGAGCTCAGAACAATTGTCTAGTCACAGTTAATCATACTTCAAATATCTTCAGTAAATTGTTTTAATCTACCAGTAAATTGTTAAGGGCATGTCAAACCACCTGGGATGCTGGGAGGAAAGAAGATTTAGAAGATCACATATTCACAGCAAAATAATGAACAATTTAGGCACTTATAACTGTTACTCTGCTCAGTGTAAGAATTTAGCATGTGAAGTACAAAATAACTTTCGGTCTCCAATAAGACACCTGGACAGTAAGGCGTTACATAAAAGTGAACAGTCTTAGCTAACAGGGCCCTGTAGCTAGAGAAAAAGAAAGAAAATCAGTCTGGCTCTACCTACTTGGCAGAGGCTTCAACAGTTACTCAACATCCAAATGGTGTTCAGAACACCATGTAAAATGACTATTGCCCTATGGGTTGCTGGATTTGGGAATAAGACTGCCTGTTAGTTACAGCAATTAACTTTTTACACTTGATCTTAGCCAAAAGGCTGAGAAGCAATAGCAAGTAACTTTTTGATAGCCTATATGATTTCTGAAATTGTGCAAATTACTGAGATTAAATTGGCAAGACTGGAATCTGGATCTCTGGAAGAACTACACAAAAGCAAGTAAAGCTGATGGCAGAATCTCAAGAAAAAAATTAAGAGATCTACAAAGCACCAGCAAAGAATTTTAAAACTATCCACTTTTCAACGGAAACATGCATTTTTAATGTCTCTTAAGAAAATCAGGGTAAAAAACTTCTAACGTTTATAAATCAAAAGTTTTGTTAAATCAAAATAAGGGGTTTTTTTTACTTATTAGATTGGAACTACTTTAAATGTTCTGCCATCAGTTAAAAACATCTCATATTTAGATAGAACCAAAGTCCTTTGACAAAAATTTAATGTATAAAAGTCATGTTAATCAAATTTCAGACACAATACTCAGCCTTCATTAAAAGCAATGGGTAACACTTTACTCAAGGCAAAAAAAAAGATCAGAATTTTACGTTTGACAGGAATTCAGTCAAGGTGAAGACAGCAGCAGGAAAGATCACAAACTATTTCAGTAATGGATGCTTTCTCTAAAATTTGCATACCATCTTCCCATAATTCTATTCACATGTACTGAAAAAAATGCAAAATAAAGCTACAAATGGAGAATTCCTACCACTAGCTTTAGTTCATGTTAGGTGCCTGTTAAGCAGTAATCCTTGTTGACCATGGCACTGAGTTAAATACAAATGGGCTCACATGGATAACTACTCAGGCTGGCACCTAAGCCCCATTACCTTTTTAGATGACCTACAAAAGCCATTTGAATGACACAAAATCTAGATGTTTCAGAGATGTTTCGTTTTTAAAAAGTGAGATAACATAGCTGCATAAAAAAGCAGTGCAAGGAACAGAAGAGTATTAAAATGAGTTCAATGGAGTACATTTACAGAAAGAATCTAGAACAGTTTCAAGAAAAGACACAGACCTCTCTTTGTACTCACATATCTACCTGACTACTGCCAAGGTATCAGTTAACATGTACTACTAATGACACAATTCAAAGAAGTTTTAATCAGAGCACACGTTCTGCAACTAATTGTATTAAATTTTATGTTAAGGCAACAGAAATCATTTCTACTTATATGCAAATGCCACTACTAAACACCATCACAAGCATTTGTAGCATATTATATTGGCAAAAATCATGCATTCAGAAAATATTTTTGTAACAAATATATCATTGTGAATTATAAGAAAGCAGTAATAAATATACTCAATTTTCTTCTAGCAATTTTAAAAGGTAAGGATTTAAAAGAGCATATTTACATACAGGTAAAAGCTCGTTGTCTATGTGTTTTCTTTCCATGCTGTTGCAGAAGACGAGATAAAATGTCCTTGGCTAAGACTGCACTGTAACAAATCCTGAGATATCAGCCAGTACACAACCACCTTATAACACTATGCCCACAGATGTAAACCAGTATAAAGCTCTCTCTTACAGCCAATTACAGCCAATTCAAGGATACTTAATCTTCCAAGCCAATAAACTACAACCAGCACATGGTTACAATAGCAGAATTGAAGAACACGGCATGCCTTCAATTCCCCCCGAGAACACACCAAAAAAGGAGCTGAAACTTTGTGGTTTGAGACTTAACATTTAGCACAGCAGTAGCTAAAAACAGCCTGCAAATTGACATGTTTTTATATTAAGATCTCATCACTGTGTTAGACTCAAATCTCCAAATGAAAACAATCTCAAAACAATGTATTCTCAAATATTCTTAACACAGATTTATCTGTATTTAATCATCCTTATAAGGATTTCTCAACTATCTATGAAAAGCATCTGAGGAATGGGGAACGTGTGTGAGTAAAGAATAATCCTTACATTTTTGTTCTTAGAAGGTACAAACAGTTTATCTTATTTAATCCTGAAAAAATAAAGAACTTTTCTGCAACAGCAGCAGATATAAATACAACATTTAGAAGCAAGTCTGCTGTTAAGGTGCACATATGAAATTTGCAACAACAATCCAAAACCACGATCCTGCCTTGGATCTTCATTATTCAGATTCCTACTTCACACCAGCAAGAAGAATCCTGATTACAATAATCTAAAAATCAATACTGAAAATTTTACTTCACTTGGATGCATATTGCTATCAGGCAAAGAAGCCTGCAACAAGTTAGTAGCTCACAAAAACTTTACTAAACTTTATAACTACATACAGCCATATTATATTTTGGATTTATTTATGTAAAATATTTTATGTCACCTTTCCGTGAAGGGTCCCTGGAGGGACCAAGACAGGTCACAAGAATATGCAACACCATCAAGAACAATGATCAGAACTTTACATTAAATGTAAACTGATCAGCCTAAATCAGATTCTGCACATTTATCCAATCTGTGGCATCAGAGAAATCTCTTCACAAACAAAACTGATTTATATTTTTCCTGTAAGAGCCATCCTAACTTCCCAATTTCCACAGCATTGTGGGGTACAATGCAGAAGGCCTGGACTCTGTCTGAAAATATCATTCCAGCAGATAGCAGCACAACCAAGAGACACTACTAAGATGAACACAACTGAGGCATGGGTTCATATATTATAAGTGGTTTTTCAGATATGTGTGTCCGAGATTTCATAACATTTTACAGGTAAGAACCATCAGCTTTAAACTGAGCTTGGAAGAGAAGAGCGTTGTTTTAACTCTTAGCGGTGTGACACTACCTTGTTGTTGTTTAGTCGCACAGTCGAGTCCGACTCTTCGCGACCCTTACTCCACTCAATAACCTGGCAGCCGCATTCTGTACCAGTTGAAGTTTCCAAATAGCCCATGTAGAAAGTGTTACAATAGCAGACCCTGAGTTTACAGTAGTATTGATAGGCACAGCAAGGTCAACCAGCTCCAAAAGGAAAGATAATTGATGAGCCAGATGTAATTGATAGGGGGTTTTCTTGGCCACATCAACCCATTTCTCAGGTAATAAGGCTGGGTCCAAGAGCATCCCCAAGGTCTTCACACAACGCACAAAAGGCAATTTCACTCCATCAAGGGAAAGACGATCGTACCTTTCTAAAAAGTCAGCCTTTCCAATCAGCACCACTTCTGCCTAGCCTAGAGTAAGTTTAGCTTATTTTTTTCTTTGACCTCTTGACCTCAGCCTCAAGACACCATTTAGGACAGTTTATTATAGTGCTTACCTGACTAGTCAGCTACTCCAATTCAGCACTGATGACTAGTGTCTATCAGCAAGCCAGGCATAATATTTCAGGTTACATTGTTACTGGAATGTTGCTTTCTACCCCAACAGTAAAGTGGGTTTCTCTCTCAATATTTCCTTGATAGTTAATTCACAGATAATAGAAATCTATTTAACATAGCATGATAAAACCTCTGTTTAGGATCAGAACTTTACACTTTTAGCTTACACATGATAGATCCAGGCTTAAAAACAAGTTATGCACATCTCTTTGACCATGCCCTTCCCTTTTGGCACCCATGGTCACTATTCCAGAATCTTCTCTTAGGCTAAAGTTTGTAACAAGAAAGGCTAAAATTGTATATGACCAGTGGTGGGCAATTAGATACTCACTGATTTTCTAGAGCAATCACACAAGCGGCAATTCTTTTCTTTTCCAACATGGATGGGACTGCACTCCCACCAAAGGAGATGGTTCGTAGCTTGGGGTGCTGCTAGACTCAAGCCTCTTGTTGATAAAGAGGTGGCAGTGGTGGTCAGGGGTGCCTTTTACCAGCTTCGGCTGCTGAGCCAGCTGCGGCCTTTCCTTGGCAGGAAAGATCTCGCCACTGTGGTGTAGACCATGGTAACCTCTAGATCAGGCTCGGGATCCGAAACTGACCCGTCCAGAGCTGTTATCCAGCCTCTGAGCAGCTGGTAAAGGTAAAGGTTTCCCTTGCTCGAAAGCCAGTCAAATCTGACTCTAGGGTGTGGTGCTCATCTCTATTTCCAAGCCGAAGAGCCAGTGCTGTCCGAGGATGTTTCCATGGTCATGTGGCCGGCGTGACTAGACGCCGAGGCACACAGAATGCTGTTACCTTCCCACTGAAGCGGTACCTATTTATCTATCTACATTTTCTTACTTTTGAACTGCTAGGTTGGCAGGAGCTGGGACCAGAGACGGGAGCTCACTCCGTCATGCGGCACTCGGGTCTCGAGTCCGGTTGGCAGTTCAGCATCTTAACCACTGAGCCACTGCAGCCCTGGTACAAGGGAGGAAACAGGAGGCTGCTCGGGGGTGAGTGAGCAGAGCCACTCCAATTGTGGCTTCAGCACGATGGGACAACCTCGACTGCAGCAGCCAAGCAGAACCCCTTTGCTTCAGGGACAGCCTCACTGGTAAGTTGGGAGCCACAGCAGCCACATTCATACCTCTCCAGTCAGCCTGCAGCTTCAGGGATGCTTTCCTGGACAGCCGCAGGGATCAGCATTTGTGTGTGGGGGGGAGTGCAGACAATCCTCTGTTGGGGCATAGGAGCATCTGCCCAGTGCTGCACTGCTGATTCCCCAGCCCACCCATGTGGGTTTTCCTCTGCACCCCCCTCCCAGCTCATGGGGGCCTTGCAGTGAGGACACACTAACTCGGAGCTTGCCAGCTGCTGTCCTTTATAAAGTTTATATCTCTGGTACCCAGCCAGCATTATGTTTCATGGCACACATGGCCTGGCCCGTCAAAGTGACATTTATGCCAGATCCAGCCCTCTTAACAAATGAGTTCAACAACTCTGCTCTAGATCCTATTAGTGCAATGCACACGACATGTGGCTGTTCATGAAGACAGTCTGTAAGCTACAGCCAGAATTTTGCCTGGAGTGGGTCATTTGGACTATATCACTCCAGTTTTGCTCCATCTATACTGGCTCCCAATTTGATCCTGGGCCCAATTCAAGGTGCTAGTACTGATATTTAAAGCCCTATGTGGCTCGAGGCCAGGACAACTTAAGAACCACCTGCTCCCGTATGAACCTAACTATCCCCTCCAGTCATCTCCTGAGGCCCAGCTTCAGATGCTCCCACCATCTGAGGGTAGATGACAGCAACCCGAGAAAGGGCCTTCTTGGTTATGGCATCGAAGCGTTGGTACTCCCTCCACAGGGAAATGTGCTGTGTTTTATTGAATTGTTTAAATATTTTATATACATTTAAAACATTTTGTATACATTTTATATACATGTGGCTAACAGAAACCATTGTGATACACATTCAGATTATTTTTCAAAAGAATACATCCTACAAGAATCATTCAAACCCACCAGTACAATTTATTCCAAGTAAACTAAGTCATTAAATGCTCATGCAGACATTTCAGGGTATAAGGCGTGAATGTCATAACAGATTAGTAATAAGATTCCCAGTGACAGTATACCAAAGCCTAAAACAGCACAACATTTCAAGCATCTATCTATGGCAAAACATGATTACTTGCTGTTATACTGTCACCAGTTAGCACCCTTTTTTGTAGTAAATTTACTTCTCACTTTCAGGAAATCTAAGGAAGAAAGTGGAAGTAGTGTCCTGCATGTGTGTATAGTAGGGGCATAAAAGAAACATGGATACTGTTACAGATTATAAATCCAAAAATCAAATTTACCCAGATCACAACAAGGCCCATTGTCTCTCAAACTGAGCATGTAATACACTCACATTAATGATTTCTTCCCAATTTCAAATAAGTAGTATATGCATCACTTCAGCTCGTGGCATTTATAACACTGTAGGCCAGAATGCTCATTGCATGTGGTCAATGGGAATGGTAGCTCTAGGAGCCTTCTAAATTGAATTGGGAAGCCAAGAAAACTACAAATCCCATCAACATTGTCAAGAAATAAAGTTGAATAAGACTGCAAAGTAATATACAGAAAATGGTGGATACCAATCAGAGCTCATTCTCCATAATTTGAGGGATATGGAGCCTTATTTGCCCCATCACAAGACTAGAGGGATGCAGATGTATGTTTGAAAGCAATTAATAAACTTAATTGATATAGATACTTATCAAACTTAACTGATTAGTATCAATATGACCAAAACATCAGACTTCATATTTTATGACAAAGTCAACTATATCAGCATGAGCACATATTTCATCAACTGTAGCAGACCCAGTGGCTGAAATAAACATAAAATTCCGTTTTGGTCTTCTGGATGATGTTGAACTTCTTATAGGTGAAATTGTAAGAAGTTTTATACCAGCTGAATTGATTTTAGTGCCCTTTGATTCACAGGAAGAACATAATGCATCTTTTTCCAACCCCAACAAACATGCCATTGTCTTGTCTAAGACATTTAAATGTAGGCAAGAGTGATTAGAAATTGCATATCATATAATCTGATTTTAAGAGTCTATTTTTTACTACACTAA